TGCGCCATCCGCCGTGGGGCAGCCCTAGCTACCGTCCGGGGGAAAATTTTTTTGCAGCTCGTTTATGAGACGAGCCGAGCCAATCCGAGTTTTTGTAATTACCCACATTTGGCAATAAATCGGCAAGTCGTGCAGCCGTCGAGACTGGTCGAGGCCGGCCGGGGTGGAGGCATCCGAGATCGGCCAAGCTTTAGTAATTGCCTTGGATCGTCTAAAAGAAGCATCGCCGCTACTCTTCCAGTGAGCAATACTGCATAAGTGACAAGTATGCAGCACAATAAATTACCGAGTATTCAACACATTCAGTTTGAAGGAGGCTCAATGAAATGGCATGAGTTCTGGACCAGTTTCAAAAACGCTGCTGACAAGCATAAAAGGCGGGTAAAAAATTGTTGCTTCCACTCCTGTTGAAGCATCCACCGACTGTAGATGCAGAATTTATTTAAGCAAGAACAGGAGGACTCAGAATACAACAATACAATATTTGCCTAAAAGACAGTGATGCAGTATCTCATGCGGGAGCAGTTTCAGTCGTTATCCGTGACCCAATGCTCGACCGGAAAAACGAAGAAGCCAGGGGCGGCATCAAACCAGACTTGATAAATATGAAAGGGCGATGTTTTGTGCCCCCATATTTCGCACCAATTATCATCATAACCAGCAGGCGTGACTTTCACCTGCAATACACTGTTCAGGTGTTAACATTGTAGAAAAAGTGCAACGAATTAGGAGTATTTTTTCCGCTATCTTTTCACTCAGTCCTCTTCGCTTCGCTTTCTTGGTCTTTGGTTAATGATATAAATTTATTTTTTCCATAAATTTTTATGATTTTATCAATTTACGAGAATTCACAACTCCATCTTTTACGTTCGTAACTTCCTAATGTCCCTTTCCTCCATGCAGCATTTGGTTAGTCAACGAGATTTACTAAAAGCGTCAGTTTTGTGCCTCGTCGTGCCATATGAATGCTAATTGAGAAGGGGGAAGTGGTGGTAGCGCACGTGTGCTCTTGTTCGTAAGAAAGCACGAAGACTGATTTTAGATTCTACGCATGGTTTCCTGCTTCAGATGGAACACTGCTAGTGTTTTTCTGATCTGGCGCTAATTCCCAGAGAGTATAGTCATAACAATGCTCAAGAGAGATAAAAACATGCCAAGTAATGTGAATACAATATTTTGACACGAAGGCGGGGCATAGAACTGCTCCGGTCGTTTATTCCTCTCAGACGCATGCAGTAACCAAAACCATCCAGGCCGCTGCGCCTGTACCAAATATGCTGAAATAATTAGTACTTTCCAAATACACATTTTAACACAACGTTGACTAAAAAAACGCATGCTCTGGAGAGGTTGTGTGTGTTTGCATGCATTTGCTTCTGACAGCATATTTTGTTTTCCAGATTAGCGAAAAAAGTAAAAATGAAATAATGGCAGCTAGATTTTTCGTTATAGGTGGGCACCACAGAGCAAAATAAACGCTCTCGCCCTCTTAGTTGCTCCGTCAGGCACACGGAAATTAGTAGCTACAAATTCGAAACCCTACGACACAAGTATCAGCGACCAGAAATTCTCTGCGCCTGCTGCAAAGCAGTGCGCGATTCATGTGAATTCAAGCTTCCGGAGTGAAATCAAACTTGCTAGAATCCGGCTCAGCCCGATTCGGCTCGGCCGGTTTTATATGAGTCACGAAGATTTTTTGTTAGTGATGGCGGGTAGGATTACTTTACAGTGAATGGAAAGAGATCAAATGTGACATATGAAAAGAGATCGAATAGTGTGGTGCGACTTTCGCACGAGGCAAAGGAGGAGGGGAGGTGAGTGGCTTTAATGGTTACACGGCAATTACTGCAGTTCGGCTCGGCCCGGCTCGACGCGGCAACTGCTCGGTTTGCGAATCTATCGGCAGACCGTGTAGTAGGAAGCGATGAGAAGGCTATGGTGAGAGGGTGGTAGCTGCGAGCTCGGAGGCTTAGAAGGGATAGTTGGATGAGGACGTCGAGTAGTCAAGTGGGGGAAGGGGGGAGAGGGAAAAGGGGGTGATGGCGGAAGGAAGCAGGACCTGTGTTGCTGGTTTTGTCGCAGATGCGCACGGTATGGGAAGGGCTTGGAAGGTATGTACACTGCAGAGGGCATGGAAGGGGAGGGAGAGGGTTGGCAATGCATGAGCACACCTTCGGGTGTCTTCGAGACGCGAGGAGGGGGTTGTGATGGGGATGAGGGGCAGGGGGGGGGGGGGGGGGGAGGGGGTGCATGCAGATTTTGCGCGCAGGGATTCGAGGCAGGGAGAG